TAGGTACCTACTCGTCTAAATGAGATGTTTACTGGACTCGGTACTGTAATATTATATTACATACCTATTAGGGAAGTGTTTCATTACTGTCGAGAGATTTATATAGTCAATCGAGACGCAAAGCGTCGAGATTGACTATTAATCTCGAGACAGAAATGAAAACTTTCCTCCGAGGTTTGTATACTATTTTATTTGCAAGCACACCATTAATTATAATTAGTCATTTAATTTTTTTAATATTAAAAAAAATAAAGCAAACATGTCAAAATGTGTCATTCACTGTTTTGACGTTATTACCTGACATGTTCTCATTGTTGCCAGCAAAGGTAAATAAATTACAGTGAGGGAAATCGGTGAGGGAAGTCGAATAGGGAAATCGGTGAGGGAAATCGAAGAGGGAAGTGACACAGGTAAAGTGTCACTTTCAAATTTTTAAAAAGTCAGTAATGTCTAGATTACATATATGGTTGCAAATAAAAGTAATTCTTCTGGACTTGGACTAAATAGGTATATATTGGTGTGTTTTACGATACAGTATGAAATGAAAATCTTTTCAGTCGTAGGTACAGGGTGTTTGTTTATAACTGGAACACTCAATTACTTTTTTATTATTGAGAATAGAGGGCATGTTTAAATTGTAAAATTTCTTGGTAAACTGCAATAATCTTAATCGCTACAATGAGATTTTTTTTGTCGCCATAAGTATACAGGGTGCGCCAAAAAAGTCATTTTTTCAAATGGAACGCCCTGTATATTTTTGCATTTTTGAAATTCTTAGAAAGTTAGCTTCACAAACATATCAAATATTATTTGGATAACAAAAATATACAGGGCATTCCATTTAAAAATAATACCTTTTTGGCGCACCCTGTAAACCTATGACGACAAAAAAATATCGTTGTAGCGCTTAAGGTTGCAATTTACCAAGAAATTTCCCAGCTTAAACTTGCCCTTTATTTTAAATAATATAAGAAAAGTTACTGAGTGTTCCAGTTATAAACAAACACCTAGTAGTATCTATTTAATGTATCAAGAGTTGACGAAAATTAGGTTTTTAAATTGAAGATGCAAAATTCGATTCTGAAGCTGCATCATCCTGTAAAATCTATTTTCTAAGGAACGCCACTGCTTAATGTTGGAAATTAAAAACAGTACACATAGTGCCACCTAATATTATTAGTGCAAAATATTTATTCAAAGAATAGAGAAATCTTCTAAATTCATTCGCCAAGCTGTCAAGAAAACACATCAAAACTTGAATGGCCAAAGGATTCTCCGCAACGTCAAGAATATTCTATGCATAAAAGATAAAAGTGATTCTAAAAACAGTCGATAGCACACGGAAATGGAGCCTTGCACGAAAAATTACGTTTCGAATCGATAATAAATAAAACGCAGGTAAATTTAATATTAATAAGTTTAGTTTTGTGTAGGTACCTTTAGACTAAGCTTTAGACTTCATTATAACAACTTTAATATTCTACTGCTTGTGTTCCCACTCTCTTAAATCTCTGGTTTATGCTTAGTAACCTTCTTTCTCTTTTCCAAATTGCTCTAGAACAACTTACTCGTAAAACTTGATGTGTTTTATGATTTTGGCTATGAATGTTTGTTTAAGTTTCATATAAGTACAGGGTGTCCGGAATACCTAAGTTGAACTAGTTGAAGTACCTAGGTACTGTCCGCCCAAGTTAAGAACATCGGTTAAAAAAATGTGAAGAATTTAAGTTCATAGAAAACATAGTTGTCACGTACACTTACTACAAAAAAATGAGGCGTTTAATAATTGTTATATGTTAACAATTATTGAATGCCTCCCGGTTTTCTTAACTTGGGCGGACAGTATATAAATGGAGATTTTGGAAACCAATGAAGATACATCAGATCAGGATGGGCGAAATGAGGAAAAAGTTGCTTAATCAAGTACCTATAAATGATCCGTCATCAACTTCTTCGAATACGGAATAGCAACGGATATATTATACAGGGTGTCCACTTAGTGCGATATCGGACGATATCTCCTTACAGGGTGATGCAAGAAAAAAAAATTAAATTACAAAGTTGTTTGATACTCTAATATGCATTAGTTAAAAATATATTTGAATATACGCAGGGTGCTTCGTTTATGGGGTATGCGACAGAACTTTGTTATTTCAAATGGAACACCCCGCATGTGATTGCATATTTGGATTCTACGTAAAATTCTGAGCAGATTTCATTTAATATACCCTATACCTAAGTTCAACTGTTTTGGAAATATTGACAGTTGAAAATTGACTTTTTGCAACTTTGACAGCCTGTAAAACCTAAACAATTAATTTAAGACGAAAACCGATTTTACATTCCTATCTTAGATTTTCGACACCATCTTTGAATTTAACCGGATATTAAATTTAACTGGAATTTTTAATCATAGATTAAATTCAAAGTTGGTGTCAAATGATAGTTTATAAAAATCTAAGGAATGTAAAATCGGTTTTCGTCTAAAATTAACTGTTTAGGTTTTACAGCCTGTCAAAGTTGCAAAAAGTCAATTTTCAACTGTCAATATTTCCAAAACAGTTGAACTTAGGTAAAGGGTATATTACATGAAATCTGGTCAGAATTTTACGTAAAATCCAAATATGCAATCACATACGGGGTGTTTCATTTGAAATAACAAAGTTCTGTCGCATACCCCATAAACAAAGCACCCTGTATATTCAAAAATATTTTTAACTAATGCATATTAGAGTATTAAACAACTTTGTAATTTAATTTTTTTTTCTTGCATCATCCTGTAAGGAGATATCGTCCGATATCGCATTAAGTGGACACCCTGTATATCAGCGAATGGTTTACCACCTGTTGTCCTTTCTCGCTTCTATCTTTCCATAGGTCTCGGTTCCACCAGTCTCCTTCTTGAAGGCCTATTTTTTCTATGGCCCCTATGACGTAATTTTTTTAACTTTTTGGTGGTCTACCGCGCTTTCTGCGCTCTGGTGGCATACAAACCCAAACTTTCCACCAGCTCGTGTCCATTTTTTCGAGATCACCATACCATGTGAGTCTTTCGGATTCACTCGTGTCTATAATAGTTCCATCTACTCCTATCGATCGTCTTATTTCTTCATTTCATAACTAATATAATCTAGTCTGGATGTTCTGTTGCTTCTTCTCTAGTAGCTAATCCATTCTAACAGCCAAGAGCTGTTCCCTGTCCCTTATTGTTAATTCTATGGTTAATTCCCAGGTTTCTGAGCCATAGGTACGTAGTTATAGTTTCAATAATGGTATAGTATGTATCTTATTTTCTTGTTTCTTTTTGTTATTTTGTTGGTTCATAAAAGGAAATTTGGTGAGTTGGGAAATAACTCTTTGCCCTTGACCAACTTTATTCGAGATGTCTAAGGCGCTTTTACAATTAGAAGAAAGGATAACACCAAGAATCAAGATATTACCACACAATGTCCTAGATCTATCTGCCAATTCGTCGCCAACTGCCATATATACTCCGTTTTATTTAAATTTATTGTAAGTCCCCAGTTTCATGTCGGGGGAGTTAGCAACACATTCGAAGCAGGATCGCTAAAACATGTTCCTGCTTGTGCTGATTTGGTCCTACCGCATCCTGCTTCAAATCTTACCCCGGCAACACGTACTATTTTCGAGATACAGCAATTTTTATTATGGTTGTTACCTTCACCCTTGTCAACACACTGGAAGCAGGATCGCTAAAACATATTCCGCTTGTGCTGATTTGTTCCTGCCTCATCCTGCCTCAAATCCCACCCCGGCAACACGTAAACTTTTCGAGATACATCATAAAACTAACCCAAACTAACCCGTCCCCATAGTGTTGGTATTTTAGATGAAAAAAGCTAGTCCAAACCAAACTAACCCGTCCTCGTAATGAATTCTAGTTTTTGTAGGTTGGTATTTCAGACCAAAAGAGCTAAAACAAACTAACCTGTCCTTGTAATGAATTCTAGTCTCTGGATGTTGGTATTTTAGACGAAAAGAGCTAATCCAAACTAACCCTTCCTCATATTAAGTGCTAGTCTTGGTATGTTGGTATTTTAGACGAAATAAGCTGATCCAAGGATTGAATTGAAACACCAACCTATCCTCCTAATAATCTTGAAAGAAAAACCCTGAACCAGGGTCCATTTGCTCCAAAAACCGAGCGTATTCCAACTGGGCTACCATGCCTCTGCAAGTATAATCATATAAATCGAAGTAATAACGTGCGCAACTTATGCAGAAATGAGTTTCAGCGATCCTTTCTCTATGGCGATCCTGCTACAATGTTTCGCCTAGGGTGAAGTAAGCAAACAAAATAATAAACGCTGTATCTCCAAAATAGTACGTGCTGCTTGGATCAAATGTGGAGCAGGATGAGGCAGGACCATATAGCAGCACAAGGAGGAACATGTTTTAGCGATCCTACATCCAATGTATCGCCAAGAGTGAAGTTAGCAACCAAAATGAAAATCGATACATTTTGAAAACGGTATAGGTGCTGCTGGGTTGGGGTTTGAAGCAGGACAGCGCAGTTATATAGCAGCACAAGCAGAGGTGTATCCTAAATATCCTGCTTCCAATGTGTTGCTAACTTTCTCGACGTCGTGTTGCTGGGGTGGGATTCGAAGCAGGATGAGGCAGGACCATAGCAGCACAAGCAGGAACATGTTTCAGCAATCCTGCTTCCAGTATGTTGCCATGGGTGAAGTTAGCAACCATAATAAAAATCGCTGTATTTCGAAAATAGTGCGTGTTGCTGGAGTCAGATTTGAACATGTACCTAACTCGAGAAATCTTTATCTCCAGCTATAACTACCTGGTTCTCAGTCCTCAGCAATTAAGAGATTAAAAAGTATCTGAATCAGGTGATTTTGCTGACGATCTTCAACTTTTATTTATACTTGTTCTGCAGTGGTCGTGATTTTTGGTGATTAGCAGTTTATTACCACCACTTGCAAATACTGGAATCGTTTGGAAAAACAAAATAAAACACAGGATAATCACTTTAATAATAAATATAATCGATTTACTTGAAACAAACATACTCACACTTAAATAATTTAACAAAAAAAAAACAACACATAGTTAAATGACATAAATAAAGAATATTTATAAAGAATTCTACATAAATACATTATGTGGCACTCATTTAAGCAAAACGAACAAAAGAAACATTTCATTGACCATAACAATGGCATGTAAACATCGTCTATCCTCATATGAATATATGCATAATTTAAACAAAGGAAAAATATATGTGTTTTAAACATTTCCATAAACGCACCATAATTTTTTTCAAAAATTCCGAAATAATTATAGTTCTTTAAACAAATGGTTCTGACCAATACTTGATTTTCCCTCCCGTACTGTGCCTTTCAAAAATATTAGCACTAGCCCTAACTTTAGACCTCAATTTAACATCTTTAGGTTTCAGCATGTGTTTGTGATTGGTCAACGTTCTTGCAGGTGTCAAAATAGATTTTGAGCTCAAGCCAGTGCATTCGAGAAAGTGCTCGTAAGTGGGCTGATTCGCAATTTTAGTTTGCTCATTATTTGGGTCTTTGGTTTGATTACGTTGTAATTCTAATTGTTTCTTTAAAAGGTCTACTGAGGCTTGATTTAGACTGGTTGCCCGGATGTATTCATATTCAACCCTTGTGTCCTCTTGTTCCTCATTAGCCTTCTCTTCCCTTTCCAATTCCTCTTCGACGTCGTACTCTTCAATTTCACAATCGTCCAGTTTGAATTCTTCAAAATTTTGACTCAAATCAAAATTTTCAAAACTTGTTGTTTCTAATTTTGGCATTGTAAAATGTTTATCCAAGTTTTGTAAATTTTCAAAACTAGAAAACATTCGTTTAGTTTCAGGTTTAATTCTTTCGTGTTTCTTTTTGATTTCGTTTATTATTTGATGGTTATTGAAGCCACTAATTAAACTTGAAACCGATGTGCCTATTTGTATTGGTTGCTTTCGACTGTTTTGTTGTGTAATTTGCGTGCTATTTTTTATGTAATTATCTTGTGATATTATTTCTTCTTCGTCATCGTTTTCATCTGGATCGTCTGGGATTAAAATTTCAGACACTTGAGGCAATTTTGGTATTTGTATATCGCTTTGCTTCTTCTTAGGAGATTGAATCCTTTCTGGTTTAACAGAAGTCTGCTTGGCTAATTGAATATTTAGTTTTTCAACACATTTTTTGACTACCAAATTTGGTACTTCGTCTTTTAGAGGTTCAGTGTTAATTTTCTTTGATGGTTTCTCAGGATGCACTTCAGCCACAACACTAATTTTATTCATATGAGGTAAATTAAGCTCTGATATAGAGCAATAGTCAGGCTCTAAATCAATTGAGCTACCGTTCTCGCTGGGTGCCTTTTTGGGTAGTGTTTGGATTTTACATTTAGCAACTAAATTGGGTGGTTTTGGTGGTAAGGCTGGTGGAGTTCTTGAAATTTTATTTTTTCTTGTTTTGTCTTGGTCTTGATTTTCCATTTCAATGTAATGATGACTATTTTTCGATTCTCTTGGTGATACCTCTGGTTTACTAGTAGGAGATTCCGAAGAAGTTTCACTGCACTTGCTCAAAATTTGCTCGTAATCATTACTGTAAATGCTCTGAGGTGTTTCATAAAAGTTTGGTGTTTTTTGAATGGGAGTTTCGTAATAATCGTGGACTTCGTCTTTCGGATTGGTTTCTTCTTCGTCACTAAACTTAACACGTTTATTGTTTTTGTTTTTCCTCTCGATATTTGGTGTTTTAGGAGGTGAATTGATATCGTTGATATTTTGTAGTAGAATTTGATTCATGCATTCAAGCACAGGATTGTTTCTGTAAACATCCCTGCGGTCTTCATCTTCTTGGTCGCTAGCACTTGCATACCAATTGTCATTTGTATCACCACCACTTTCGAACACTGGAATAGTTTCTGTTAATTTATTGGTTTCTATTGGGTTTTCTTCTGCTGCAATTACAGTATTAATAATAACAGTCTTATCGCATTCAGAAGATGAAATATTCACGCTACTAGACTCAGATGGTGTGCTTGCAATGCTTCTAGTATTGTTGAGCATATTTTCAATATTTTCCGAGACAGTGCTTATTTTATCGCTAATGCTTTCTGGTGGTAGGGAGTCTAAATTATCATAATCAGCGCTAGTATTGTCATCGTTGGATAAAGGACTGTCGTTTCGTAGCTTCAATACTTCAAAATAGGTTCCAGTACTTTTGCGATGTCCAACCTTTCTGCGACCTTGATGCTTGTTTTTCTGGAAGATGTTTTTCTTCTCGTAACTATCGCTTTCTGATCTCGGTTCTGAAGCTGCATAGGTTTCGCTGCTGCTATCCAGAGATTCCAAATTTGATGATTGATAGTCGTGTTCAGTAGGTACATATTCTGAGCTACTATCGAAGCTTTCTAAAACTACTGGAGGTGAGGGGTAATATTGATTACAATTTTTACAATATTGGTTGGCTAAAAGTTTCTTAATATCGTTAGTTTGGGTGTTAATTATATAATCTTTTTCGTTTAGCTGATGGCTTATTAGTTTTTGCTCTTGCCTTAAACGAGCTTCGAAAATTAGCAAGGCTTTAAGCACCTTGGCTAATTGGGTGTCACGAAGAGATTTTTCGTTTTGATACAATTTTTCTTTTTCTTGTAGTTTTCTTGTGTATTCGGCCACTAGATAACGACAACGTTTGGTTTGGTGTTTGAGGTCTTTTTGGACAATTTCTAGTTGCTCTCTGAGTTTCTTCATGTCGGTTTTGGTGAAAGTCATCTGGAAAAAAATATATATTATCAAACACAAATTTCAAAACATTAAACAATCTGATTTTTTTTTAGGATTCAAAAAATGTTTTGGAGTAGTGCAATCAATACTAATGCTGATGTTTTGAGAAAGTAAGTTGAAACTTTAAAATTGTACATTGTACAGCTTTGTTCCTTATTGCACTGCAGTAGGTAAATCGTTTAGCCTTGTAAATTTGACCTAAACCAAGATCACGACGATGCTGGAAGTACACATTTCTTAGAAACCAGCATAAATTTACTTAGAATTTACCAAGGGTAATGCAATAAATACTGTTCGTGAAACGTAAACAACGTTTGCGTTTTATTTTACCAGTGAATTAGGTAGTTATGATAATTAAATGTAGGCATCATGTAGGTATTCTAAGCAAAGGTTTTTTGCATGGATAGTGGTAATTATTATTTATTTGAAACCATAGTGCTTCTAAGTTGGATACAGTTTTCGATAAGAACATATCAATAAGCTACAACGCAATTTATTTTTTTTAATTATTAGTCATTGTGACTTATTTATTTTTAGTGCTAATACGAGGTCAATCAGTCATGACGCTAACTGAAAAAAACATTATTTTAATAAGCACATAACTGAGAATGTCCTAGAAGTGGTATATATCCTGAATATTAATTTTAATTAGTCGGTATTGATGGTGCTGGTTTTTTCTATAGACCTTTACACATTTTGAATTTTGCTTTGCAAGTGTCACATTCAAAAGTATAAATATCCGAATGTAGGTATATCTAACTATGTACTTATTATTCTTTTGTAAACTGTTGTTAGCTACACTACAGAATCATCATCTGAATGATGAATGATACCAAAAACAAATTTCAGAAAAAATAGCATCTGTGGATTGGTCAAGGGGAAACAAAATCTAACAAAGATGATGAAGTAAAAAACATGGATCCATCGAGGAAGAATCTTGTCTTATATACAAAACCCAAAAAAAATTATGAGCAAGAATAATTCAGCAATGATGGAAATTAAAAATAGTTTAGCAGCAAGAGAAGATATTTTTTTGTTGTCTGGCATGAAATGTCTTTGGAAGTCCAGCTCTACCTACTTAAAGAACTGATAAGTACACTTTTGTAGTTCAATTTATAGCATTCGAGAAGCGCCGAGAATAGAATTTGTATGCCTTTCTTGTTTAAATGTTTGCTCTAGTAGAGCTGGAAATGAGATTCTCACAATTTCCCTTTCTGAAAGGGTCAAACAAGCTTCCTGATCACTTCTAGTCCAACTTTACCTTTTGAATGGTCAAAAATCAAAGTTATATACAGTTTTCTAGTTCAATTTATGGCATTAAGAGCACCAAGAAAAGAATTTGTATGTGTTTCTTGTTTGAATTTTAGCTCTTATAGAGCTGGGAATGAGATTTTTACAACGTCCCAATCTGAAATACCAATTTTCATGCTTCTCTAGTTTAAATTTTATCTGTAGTATAGCTGGGAATAGGAATTTCCGAGGAAATAGACTAGGTACCTATATTACTAAAACTGTATCAGCTTCTTTCAATCTGCTTTATTTGAAATTAAACTGAATAGTTAGATTAACGTTAAATTAAAGTTACATTTATATAACATTTATGCGATAACTATTGTCGTTTATATTATATAACATTTTATGTAGGTTTTTGATATCTTATTAACGTGAATCTTATGTGAATGCACCGAGCCCTAGTGCTTCCTTTTCGAGATAATCGACTTAGAAGGTTTTCCAAAATTTGAAACAAAGTTTCAACTTTGAGGCTCAACATCTCGAGAACTATCTGAGATAAATGATTTATTTTTGTTTTATCTTAAAGAGCATTCAATTATGATTAAGAATATATAAATATGCATTGAAATTTTTGAAACAATTATTGAGTTATGAGCGATTTTGTAAGGCAATGTCGAATGATAAAAAAAATTAAGGGTTAAAAATGCAAAACTTTTTCACATACGTAATATGATTTATGATTTACATCAATGTCATAAATTTTACATCTACTTGAGCATGACATTAGGCACGGTTGAGCTAAATTTTACCTTATTCTGACTTGGAAAAAACTTAAAAATTATATACACAACAGCTGCAGAATATATGAACTAGAACACATGACATTACAATAAAAATCAAAAAATTAAAAAATATATCTTTTCAGTGCTGAGTTTTCTCATCTTTGAAGGGGGTTGATTAAATAATGTTTTGCCTTTATCATATATTTCTCAAGCTTGTTGGAGACCGAATATCACCATCTTCATATAAATTGATGTTTCATAAGCAGTGGCGGATCTGGGGACAAGTGGGCCTTAGGGCAAAATATATTTGTAGGCCCCCAACCTATCCCTTGAGTATCACGTAAAAAGTCGGAAAATGAAAACTTCCTTCAATTCAGGATAAAAGCTAGGTACTTAATACGAAACTTATATATAAATTGGTATTTTCCGTGTCATATAACAAGTTAAAATATAAAAACACTTCAAATAAAATATAAAAACTAATAACAAATAAAAAATACTAAAATCTAGAACCAGAAAATAGAATGGTCTTATTATCGCATTATCAAAATTATCTATTAGATTTCTTAAATCTAACTTCACTACGATATTTGGGTGGTATGAATTAAAACGAAGTAGGTACCTGCTACTTGCTCCTGCTAGAAGTATCAGTATATTCTACGCAGTATTTATTTTAGAAACGAAGTAAATACTATATTCCAAAGTACTCTTTTTTGTTTTTCCGGAAGTTGCCAAAATAATAGCATTCTCCTAAACATTATAGCAGCATGTACTACAGCTAAAAACATCTACTTTTTACTGGTAGATCCTTCGATTTTAACAACAACTGAAATAGTTGCTCGGTTATTAGCGAATTTGATATCATAGCAGTTTCACCGTGGGTGCTACCAAGTGATTATTTCGAAAATGGATCAGATTCATAATAACAAATGCCAACTGTTGGTCTTCATTTTGGGACTCTTCTATCACACTTCCTTCATCCGAAGACATCTTGAAGGACTGTTAAAGCAAAGTCTAGTTAAAGTTATAATAAATATTTATCATACAAAACTGACACCTGTCGTTTCCCAAAAACTAAACATGTCTTATCATGTTAGCCAAAACCTCGCGCGGTGAACGTAAGACGAAAGTTAGTATACCTACAACACATTTCAAATAATGTTCTACACCTTGTTGAGTATTTAGATACCTACTTCATAATATGGAATACAACATACAACATGGTATGGCTTCAGGATTTTGTTACTCTCCACGTAGGAGATATGATTCAGTACCTATGAGTTTGTTGAGCGCTGTTTTACCCTTTACAAAAAATGCTCCTACAATAAGGGTGTTAGTTAGTATGTTTGCGACGAGCTAAACATCTTCTGGAACTGTTCATTCTTTGAAATCTTTTTACTGGTATATCCAGTATCATTTAATTTCAATTTCTTCTTATAAAATCCTAGTAGTTTTTCATGTTTCATATTTTCATTAATCATTGAAACTTTTTTTGACCTTTGAATGCAAATACTTCTGTGGTTAATGATCTCAAAATATTTCCCAAGCCAATTTGTTATCGCAAGACAACTCAACTAAATTAAATATTTGTGTGCAGTTTTAATAATTAATATCGAGCCTTTCCTATGTGCCGGATGCGATAGGCTTTTTAAATTGCAATGAATCATCTCTGGTATTTAAAGAGCTATGCCCTCCGGAATTCTCTTGATTAACTTAAACAAAGGCCATATGGGGGTCTAAATTGCAATTTAGTACAGTTATAAAAATAACTTTACCCATAACGAACTAAATTGAAATAGCTAATTAGAGTGTTTTGTCAACGGAGATAGGTATAATGTTCATATTTATTATTAATTGGATGCCACAACTCCAGTTAACTGTTTTTACAAAGCAGTGAATAACCTATTGTAAACTGAGAGAACTTCAACGATTTTGTAATTGTGGTGTTTTGTAGAAAAAATAATTGACACATTGCTGCCCTTGGAATGATACCTTCAAGCTTGTTTTATTGGTTTATTGAGATGTCAAAATAGCTAAGTAAGTATGATTCGAACAGATAATTTATGTTTAATTAAATTTAAATACACCTTCTAAAATTGAAGAAAATATATTTTCTTGAGACAATCAAACATGATCATGTCTCTATAGGTTTAATTCACTGGAATTTTTACTTTCGGGCGTGAAACTGTAAAATTTCATAATAATAATAATTAATAAAAAGGAGAAAACGTATAACAACAAAAACAATCGTTTAGAATGGAATGCAAGTAGTTGTAATATACATTCAAGTAATTAGGGTCAGTTTGTTGAGCATGAAATTGGATTAAAACGTCTGATGCTCATTGAGATAATAATATATGGTATTATGAAACGGTAATACATAAAATATGCTTTGTTTACTGACAGAGAAAAGTTTTGAAATCTTCATTAAAAAAATAGTTTCCTTGAATTGTTTTTTTATAGGCATAGCATAGGAAATTTCATTAATTTTATTAGGACAACTTATTTTTTTTTGCCTATAACAGAAAATCAAGGTTTATATTGACAATTTCCTCGTATACAGCCTTTTTAAGGATTTGACTGTTTTACTAGAAAGTATCATTATAATAATCTATAACGATCCGAAACTTTCCAAGTATAAGTACCTAAAAGTTGAAAAAAATCTCATCATTAACATAGACAACCAGTTTCTTTAGTCCAGTTATTATTACCCGATTCACAAAAATTAAAATTTCATAGCCAAAAACAGATAAAGATCCGTCATATTATTTTTGAAACCAGTTTGCGTATTTCGTTTTCACTCTTTTAGTTGTTGGTGGGTCTCGAGCAGGGCAAGAAGCGTTTTAGTCAATGGCCCCATTGTGTTCGAATTTCTTTCTAAATATGCACACCTGGCTGCGAATAAAATACCTTCACCAGTCCACCTTTTACTTTCTGTTCTTTAAAAAAAAAACACACATTGGTGTGCTACTG